AGAAATAACCATGTAGCTGCTGATTTGGTCGTTATCCATAGTTACAAAGGAACAGAGACATCTCTGTCCATTAGAAAAAGACATTGTTTCTGTATATAACCAAGGGGAGCACCACTCCACAAGCAAATGTAGGTCTCCATGAACCAACACAGCTGGCATGTATTTGTGCCCACTCCATTGGCATCAGTCCGCAATGCACTCCAGCCACAAACTATGAACACCCCTTCTCCCCCCTCACTACCAACTGCCCACTCATGACTACAGTCGTAATCATACCCACAGAAACTAGCAACAGTTAGATCCAAAGTAGGGCTGTGATTCATGATCCTGCACCTGGGACATTTATACAGACGCATAGGGTGCATTTTGCAGTAACAAGGTTGATACTGACTAAGTTCAACTAATGAAGAATCTTAAACAGAAATTGCTGGCAAAACTCAGCAGGCCAGGTAGCACCTGTGAAGAGAGAAAGCAGTGTTACCATTTTGGGTCCAGTGAGCCTTCTGCAGGGGCAGGATGGATCTTTACGGAATCTTTATCAATGAAGGATCTTTACTGTTTTAGCAAAAAGGAAAGTGATTTTTTTACATAAACAGAGAAGCAAGGGAAAGGTCAGTCAATCCACATTGTGTTCTGCACATCAGTATGATAAATATGTTGATGCTCAGTTAAAGGGGTTAGAATCTCTTAGATGTTGCTGATTCTAACATTTTTTTAATTTTCAGTATTTTGTGATATTTATTACATTTGGAACATCTGATGGTCAATGCTGTAGGGTTGTGAAAGGGAGAGGAGAATGTTAAGCATCTGTGAGCAGATGGAGGGAGGGCGTGAGGGGCAATGGTTCCTTGGTTTGTGGATGAGCAGATGGACTTGATGTCCTCTCCTCATCCATTATCGCTATGGATAGAGGATTGGTTTGTGGGCTGGAAACAGAGAGTAGGAATGACTGGAGCATTTTCGAGTTGACAGGCTGTGACTAATGGCATGCTGCAAGGATCAGTCCTGAGGGTGAGCTGTTTAAAATCTTTAAGCTGGGATACTGGCAGTAATCTTTTGAGGAGGAAGACGGTGACATTGAGTCACAGGAAGATCACCTTCAGTGTGTGATGGAGAGTAACGGCAGAAAGGCCGGCAGGACTGAATTGCCGCTTGCTGCCAGTTGATGTGAACTGGTAAGGTTGTCACTTGTTGACTGTAAAGTTTTTGCTCAAAAGGCAAGCAGCTCTTGTTTATTCCTGGAGCAAATGCAGCTTTTTCTGTTAGAACAGAAGGAGAAAAGAGAGAAAACAAAGTTAACATTTTCAGCTGTTAAAGGCTTTCAAACTTGTAACGCTCCCTTCATGGAGCAATGACAAGATTTTACATTACATTGGATATTGGGCTGTAGAGACTTCATCTTACTATTTAACCTCCATTTTGATTGCGTACTGATTTGGGAAAGGGACTTCTTACAACAAACACTTAAGGAAGGAACTGCTGTACTTTTAAGAAAAGCAGCTGACTAAAAAAAATTGTGGGTTGTGCCTGGCCTGTTGGGGGCATTGCAATAGCCTGTAATTGGGGAGTTTATACAAAGTGAAATTTGCCCAGCAACAGGTTAATGATTGGTTTGTGGAATTGTGACCAGTTGTGGATGCTAAAGATCAACAGCGACTCTGGCTCCTGGACAGCTGAATAACTTGTGAGTGTGAATGATACAGTCAGAAGCTCTTGGACTTCTGGAAGGAAATGTGGTGTATTGCTCTCTCCAGTAAAATACCTGAAACTAAAGAAAGTCAGTTGCTTTCTACCCACTGGTTGCTGTGAACAAATCAGAGACTTTATAACTTTTGAACCAGTTGCTCTGTGCATCCTGTGAAGAAGTGAACGAACCCGAGGGAAAAGGTCAGAGAACTGAAGGCCTTGGGAAACAAAAGCAATCTTTCCTGAAGACAGATGCCATTGAACTGTTACCCCTGATTTATTTTTTCCTCCAAACATGATGTTGATTTTTTTTGTATGTATGGGGAGTTTAGTTTAGAAGGTGGTTAGATTTTTAACTGGTAGAGTTATACGTTGACTGTTCATAGTTGTTTACCTGTGGTTAGAATCTATTTGTAATAAATAACAGTTCTTATTAATTACAGAAATCTGGTGCATTGTTTTTAATATCGATCAGATGGGTAAATTGGGGACTTTGCATACTTCAATAAAATGTTTTAAATTTTGTGAGCAGTCTGGGAGTAGCAGGGTTTGACTTCCAGTGCATTAAAGCAGTGAATCATAACAGGAGGAAGAGTAGCACTCATTCCGACAGGGTTCCAAAAATGGTATGGTGCTAAGGACAGATTGTTTCTGAAACTGCATTCTTGTAACTGCAGTTTACAAAAACAGGCAATCAGACAGGTGTTATAGAATCCCTACAGTCTGGAAAGAGGCCATTCAGCCCATCGAGTCTACACCAACCCTCTGAAGAGTATCCCACCAACCACCACCACACCCCCCCTTCTCTATCCCTGTAATCCCATGTTTCCCATGGCTAATCCACCGAGCCTGCACATCCCTAGACACAATGGGGTAATTTAGCATGGGGAGTTCTTCACCCGAGCAACCCCCCAAAGTTCGTCACTGCTGTTTGTGGGACCTTGCTGTATGCAGAAGGGCTACCATGTTTCCTGTGGACTATAGTCTACACGTGCTTCAGAACATCTGTGTGCAGGAAGGATGCATTTAAAAATAATATCGACCTGGTGTCCATTGCAAGGCATTCTTTGTAAAATAAGAAACTGTCAACAATACAGTTAAAAGTTAGCCATTTGAATGGGTGGTGGTGGTGGTTAGCACTGCTGCCTCACAGCACCATAGACCCAGGTTCGATACCACTCTTAGGCAACTGCCTGTGTGGGTTTCCTCTGGGTGCTTGGGCTTCCTCCCACAGACCAAAGATGTGTGGATTGGCTATGCTAAATTGCCCAGTAGGGTGCAGCTCACCACCACCACCTCCTTCTCAAGGGCAACTAGGGATAGGCAAAAAATGCTGACCAGCCAGCAACACCAATATCCCACAAATGAATGAAAACAAAACACTCAATGATTAAAGCTTATTACAAGTGTTAGATCTGATCGCTTCCTTTGGACGGCTAAAACATATATCCATTTTTCAGCTGTTTTACAGTACGGTACCTGGCCATTCATAGATCAGCTTGGAACGGTTAATATCCAGCAATTTTTTCTAATCACAATATTTCATATTTGCTAACAATGTTTGAAACGTACCCAATATATGCTAGTGAAAATTTCAGCAATGTAGCCTTTGTTCTCAGTACGTGCTTATTCTCACTGAAACAGATACAGTTACTGGCCATTGATCATTTGTTTAGAAGCAGATTGCTGCTGCTGATTTTGTTAGGGATGAAGTTCCTATCTTTCTACCAGAGTTCTCAGATAGGCCATGACTGGGGTGGAGGATAGAAATGTTTTTTGGGAAACCCTCCAGTGATGAACTGCATCGTAGTCCCGAACTAATGCCCATGACCTGCTGCTATTATGGAGGTGACAGAAGATCTGTTTTCTTGCATAGGATTTAAGAATTAAATGTGAAAATATTTGCATTGGCAAGGGAAAAAGTAAAATAATTGGAGATAATAGGAACTGCAGATACTGGAGAATCCGAGACAACAAGGCGTAGAGCTGGATGAACACAGCAGGCCAAGCAGCATCATAGGAGCAAAAAGGCTGACGTTTCAGCCCTAGACCCTTCATCAGAAAATCAGTAAAATAATTGCACTACTTTTCACAGATAAAGTATATCACGTGGTTTGAGGATAAATTTTAATCTTGGCAGCAATGAAATTTTGTTTTACATCTTGTATACTCTCTAATCAGATTCAGTTAGCTCAGGTGGCTGGATGGCTGGTTTGTGATACAGAGTGATGACCTTTAGGTTAAACCACCACCAATCTCTGTAATGAGGGCACAGCACTGTAGTTGGGTAAGATTACGGTGACTTGACCTCAGTAATAGGAAAGTCAAGCACAATATTAAATTCAAAAAGGATAAAATTTGTGATCGAGAGCAATTCCTATAATCCAAAACTGAGTTCTACCTAAAGACATATTATGGCCTACTGTTAAAAAGCTGGATAATATTAATTGTGTTCTTTGAGTTGAGTGATTAAGTTTGATGTAATTATTATGCAAGTGTGCCATGGAACATTAAATCTTATTTAAGTTCACAACTATTCACACTGTTAAAACACCCGTGACTGGGCTACAATCACCAAAAGAAAATCTGATCGATTTCCCGGTTTCTAATCACAACCTCCTCGATGTCCTGAAAAGCTCAATCCACCATTTAGCCTCAAAGCACTGAAGCTAATTGTAGTGTCTGAACAGCTGCCTGAGCCAACTTCGCACGCTCAGCAGAGATCAGGAATCAAATCTGCAGCTTTTTGTCTGTGTAACTTACTGCAACAACAGCTGGTGCCTTTACCCACCCACAAGGTTGTTGGGAGAGTTGCCTACTGCTATTTTCAAACACCGTTGACATTAGAATTAATGGGCTCATGGATTTTGCTGGGATCTAATAAGCAAAAGACTTTTGAATGAAGAAAAAAATGTTTAGAAACATTTAAAATGCTTTACTGCTTCCATTCCTATGACATTTTATCTATTGCAGCATGAATGTTTAAAAAACAGCTAATGTGCACTCACACAGTGAACATAGGAAACACAAATGAGGCAGGATTTAAATTACAGCTAAAACTAGGTTTGCAATGACAAAATGCACTGACATTTTTGGCATCTTTAATAGTTGTTGTACTGACAGATTACTCAGACAGGCCTCTCTACGGTACTCCAACTCCAACAGTTACATTCTTTCAACTAATTTCCATGTTGTAATAAAATTGCATAGCACTAAGACCAATTTATCTTTTCTGTTTTGTCACTGGAACAGTGGAAGTATTTTGTTTTGGTCAATGCTCTGTTTAACAATAGCCCGATTTGTCATTCCCGCAGGTCGCAGTCAGTGGTTGAGCCAGGTGCCCTGAAACAAGAGGACAGGGACGATGACAACACTCAGCCACTCCTGGCTCTGGACTGAACTAGAGACATCTTTGTAGGTTACAGAAACAATGGCAACTCCAGACTGGATCTCAGTGATGCAAACATTAACGGAACACTTGCTTAAATCAAGTCGCATTCAGCTATGTGAAGTGTTTTTTCCATTTTTCTAAAAAGATAACATTCAGATATCACTGTCATCTCACCCGAACATCAAGCTGATTAAAGAATGAAAAATCATTTAAGAGTGTTCCTAAAGGATTTCATATCTGCTGTAGGTGACCTGATGGTTACCATGGTTACCAATATTAGTATTTTGCCTGAGAGAGAGAGGTGAATTTTCATTAATGCAGAACTGTTTGACTTGATAACAGGCACGTAATACTTAGATATGTTTGTGCCTTTTAGTAGTAGCCAAGAAAGGATTTGTTTTATTTCAATATCAGAATAGAGAACTTGAAAACAAATATTATGAACAGAAGGCAGGGTAAGACTCCATTTATTAAAGTGCCAAAGATCCATATATCCATTCCTTGATTTAATTGCTGGATGAATGTTCAAAATTCATCAATACAATTTATTTAAGTTCAGTAAATGAAGCTAATCTTGCTAACCACAAAGCTGCTCAGTTCATTGAGCAAATAAAGAAGAAATAATCGCGTTCTTTCATGTTTTATTTTGAGAAAATCAAGGTCAGTGACTTTTACACCATTTTACAAAGTGTTTGTGTTTATTAATAACTTACAGATAATTGATTCCAACATTTTATTCCATCCCAACATTTTTACCTGTAATTAAACAGAAGACGGTTCTTGATCCAAGAGCCAAATAGAAACCTAATGTATAATTAAAAACTCTCATTTCAAAAATAACTATTTACAGTCAGAAATACATATTGAAATCCTACAATCATAGTGGTAGTTCCATTTTGTTCAGGTTTATAGACAAAAAAAAGCATGTTATTGCATTTACGCCAGTGCTAATGTGTATATAAAATAGAAAATTAAGATGAACTTTGTGTAACTCAACAGATAGCTGTGAAAGATTTGAATGAGACCCATTTATATAAAAAAAAATTTGCAGAAGATGGATTACAAGGTTCCATATATGCAAAAGTACATGCAATTTAAAAAAAACATCATTGTCCTTTCTCAAGAAAACCACAACAGTAAAGTAACAATCAACATGTACCAATGTGTTGGACACTTGCCCACAATGCTCAAACAATTCATTTTCTTCAGTGATATACAGTAGTAGTAATTTTAGAATTAAAATCTCAAAGTCAATGGTAGAATATGAAAGAAATTGTAGTGCCTTAACTGGTAATCACTCACTATAGCACGACAAATTTGATATCAACAGAAAACAACCTATTCTACAAAATATCAAAATAAAATGCAATCTATCTATTCTCTGCCAGTGGAACAGAATACAGTCACTTATCCTATTGCAAGTAGTCATTCAAATAGAAGTGGATTGAAACTGCACTTAAAAAAAGTATAAGCTAGTATGAAACTCATTTCAAATTGAAGTCAGGTCTCTATGAGCATAGAGTAAATTCAAATTTATTTGAAGGCTGAGGATCACAGAGAAACGTTCCTATTAATAACTCTCACTAAAATGATGCATCTTATGCTAACTACACTGCTTGGAGTCTTTTCAAGCATGCATGTACAGTGTTTCATAGCTGGGAGATGAGGGAAGTATCAGTTTTGAATATTAAATCAACAACTTACAAAATGTTGCAATATCTTTGAAGCTAATTGTCGTATTTTTATTTATGTTACATGAAGTCTTTGGTATTTTACTTCTGTAACAAGTAAAAATACATTGCTAAAATAAAGGGGGGGGGTTAACTTTAAATCTCACTGAATCTTACTTCCAGATTTTATTTGTTCCTTTTTCTTCTGAACTGAGTGATCTTGTCCATGGTTACTGACATGCTAGGCACTGTGCAGCTTTAGTCAATACTTTGAACTTCCTGAATTCAGAAATGAGTAAATTTAGTTTACATTGCTATAGTATATGGATGTCAAGGAATATTCAATTACATTTGCATTACTGAAGAGCTTTGGTATGTGTGAGATAGATTAAGGCTGAACTGAAATAAAAGGCTCTTCCCCTCTGTACCGTACAGCTAATCCAATTCCTTTGGATAGTTTCCAAACCAGCAGTCTAACAGAATTATATGCTGCAGAATGTGATATATTTAAAATCACAATACATATTTTTGTTGGAATAAAACCTATTTTCCATTCTTTTTCTGTACCCAACATGATGCTCCTTAGACAGTTTGCTAAGGCCTATCACTATGAGAGTGTAAATTACATTTTCTCCAGGTTGCAATCCCCATCTCTCTGCAGGGATCTGACTGTGCCTGCGATTGCTTTGAGACAGAAATATCTCGGTTATGTGGTGAAGTCAGCTTTCGGTGCTTTGCTCCTTCAAAGTGAAGTCTGTCATTTGCACTTAGTATAATAAATTTATAGATAAAAACATATGGTCACTTTATTGTAGATGTATCACAAGCCATCTGCTTTTTGATGCTTTGTACAGATGTGTCAGCTGTCTACTGGATGACTGTGCCTCTCCACTTTGGCATTTGTTCATTTTTGTCACATTAAAAAAAGTTCAACATTGGCATGTGCAGTAATGAGCACTTTGCAAGAGTGTACTCTAGGTTCTTTACACAAAACTAATATCGGCAATTCTGAATTCAAGAGGATTTGTTTTTATAATTTCATAAGCAACACTGATGGTCAGATACTTACTCTACAACAACTTATACAATTTGGGAATTTTAATTTTTTATTTGAACTGAGTGCTACTGATACAGCTGCGGGAATGTCGGTGAATGAGTTACTAAGCACAGTGTGGGCGAATTCAATATAAGCACAGATACATCTGTTAATTCAGAATGCTTCAGTGATTATGTCGTATTAACTTTGAGAGTTAATCCATCTTGCTCTCACTGTCAGGCTTAGTAACTTCTCAAAGGCAGCTCCCCCACTGAGGGCATTAATAAACTTTATTAAAAAAAATTGAGCAGTAGGCCAAAATAAATGCTAAATTAATACCTGCATAATTATATGTTTTTAATAATCAATTACTTTCACTTGTTATCAAAGAGAAAATGCTGATTTCAACTAAATCTGTGTACAATGCAAACATACTTGACCAAATGCAATTAAGTGAGGTACAAATCATCTTTATGTAACTTGTCAATATCAGTGATTAAAAATAATCAATTTAAACAGAACGATTGTAACAGGGAAATACAAAACACTGAAGGACAGTTACATAAATGTGACAATTTGTATCTTATAGAAGTTAATCAGACTCTGTTCACATTGAATATGTTAGGAAGTTTCCCAATCCAGCCATTTTCCTAACAAAAGGATTCTTCATTAGCTTGAGGTGAACTATTTTGAAATTATTCCAGATCACAATTGGAGAACTGCTCCATTGGATTTTTCTCTGTAGATCTTATTCAGCTTAGACCTTTAGTGTTTAGCTTTTGGGAGAGTTCATAGGTCAAATATACTTACTCAATTATAAAGCATGCCCCCTTAAAAATATTCCAGGAGACTTTTTGATTTATTCAACTGCTCTGATTTTGGAAAATACATTATGCCTCACTCTGGAAACTCTCCTGCACCAGAAATTTCAGGAAAACTACAAATCAATGGAACTCATTGCACTTCATTACAGCACATAATTTCTTCATGTTTGCTCAACCCCCAACCTGCCTTCTCTAGTTTATGTCCGAAATCCATCATTAGATTGGGGAAAGACTTCTTCGTTGCTGAGGTGTCAGCTCTGGGTGCCACACATCCACGATAAAGATTAGCCTGTAGCTATTCGCATCCTGCCAAACCTCATGCTCAAAAGAGTCGTCAAAGATGATCACCTTGCCCTCCTTCCATTCTCTGCAAAGGGAGACCAACATGGCATTTTCACATTTGTTGAAAATCAGAAACAAGCTTCGAGATATTTAACATTTTTTCCATAGATGAGAATTTGGATAAGAAAATTATTGACTCCTGAAATAAGTCATTATTGCAAGATGGAAGCTTTGGTGATTGGGTAATACAGTCAGAGTCATAGAGAATGACAGCACAGAAACAGACCCTTCGGTCCAACCAGTCCATGCCACCCATAATCCCAAACTAAGTTAGTCCCACCTGCCTGCTCCTGGCCCATATCCCTCTTAACATTTCTTATTCATGAACTTATCCAAATGTCTTTTAAATGTGGTAACTGTACCCACATCTACCACTTCCTCTGGCTGTTCATTCCGTACACAAACCACACTGTGTTCAAAAGAAAAATTGCCCCTCATGTCTTTTTAAAAATCTTTCTCCTCTCACCTTAAAATATGTCCCCTGGTCTTAAAACCCCCCACCCTAGGGAAAAGACACCTGCCATTCACCTTATCTATACCTTTCACGATTTCATAAACCTCTATATGTGGTCACCCTTCAACCTCCTACACTCCAGTGAAAAAAGTTCCAGCCTCTCCTGCCCCTCCTTATAACTCAAATGCTCCAGTCCTGACAACATCCTTGTAAATATTTTCTGTACCCTCTCCAATTTAATAATACCCTTCTCATAGTAGGGTGACCAGAACTGTAAACAGTACTCAAAAAGTGGCCTCACCAACATCCTGTACAACCTCAATATAACACCAGCTTTTGTGCCTTATTGTTATGTAATCCTTTATAAGAATCATACAATCTCAAAACTGTAACTGTGCAAAGAGGCCATTTGGCCCATCATATCTGCCCTGGCTCTCCAAATGAACATTATGAATTAATGCCATTCTCCTGCCTTTTCTCTACACCCTTGCACATTATGTGAACAGAAACAATCATTTAATGCTCTGAGATGCCACCAGTAAACCTAACTGCTACCACATTTCAGACCTGAAACTCACTCAGAGAAACATTTTCTCTCATCACATTTGCTACTTTTGCAAATCACTTGAAATACGTGCCGTCTCATTGTTAGTCTTTTTTAAAGTAGTTCCAACCTCTCCAAGTTATCCTCATAACTGGAGTTTCTCATCACTAGAACCATATTTGTAAACCTCTTCTGTACTTTCACCAGTGTGTTCACATCCTACGTATTGGGTGGAGCCTAGAATTGTAAATGGTATTTCAGAAGAGGTCTTGTACAAGTTCAGTGTCAACTCAATGTCCTTGTAATCTGTGCCCTCTTCATTAAGTCCAGGGGTACTCTATGCTTTATAAACTGTTCTGCCCACTAGTTGTGCCACCTTCAATGACTGGTTTGGTCAGCAGGAAGTCAGGAACTGTCCCTCCATGAGCCACAGATCAGGAACCCCCTGCTGCCTGCAAGCCACAGGGGTTTCTCATGGTTGCATGTAGGAAGAGGCCTTTAATTGGCCATTTAAGTGGTACTACTGACTTCTAGGTGGGTCATTCTCCACCTTCTGCAAAATATCCACAGCGGAGGTGGCAGCAACAAGGTAACAGGGGGCACTTCTGTCCCTCATTCCTAGCTATAACATCCTCTCAACCCTGCAAGACCTCATAGCATTCTAACATCAAGTTCGATAAAGAGTTTAAGACTAATCAAACTACACAGTCAAGGCAATCAAATATGTTTATTTCTAGTTAACAAAGGATAGGTTTACACATTTTTGTAAACTCTGGCAATCCCCCAAGCTCCAACTGTAATGTTGACAGTAACCTAGGCATTGAGGTGGTCGATCAGGAGAAATCAGTGAAATGTTCACAGACAATTATTCAGAGGCAGCTTTTTTGTGGTTGTAGGGAACTAATTTTGCTTGGAGGATGTAAAAACATTTTAAAAACAGTGTTCCTGTGATTTTTAAGACTTGATTATAAACATGTTCAAAAAAATCAAGAGACATCCTACCTGGTTTCATTGGCACAACGGATTTTACAGCCTTGTTTAGGAATGACCAGACCAAGATGCATTCTTAGGCGACAGTTTGTGGGTCCAGTGTGAGGCCAGACATGAGTCCCTGGATGCATAACTGAATATTTAATCTAAAACAAAATGCACTCTAGTAAATTAAAATTATTTTCTCACATTTACAATCTTATGTCAACAACGTGCTAATAACCTGACCTTTGATTAAATGATTTATTGTTGTCACATGTACCGAGATACAGTGAAAAGTGTTGTTTTGCGTGCTCTACAGGCAGGTCGTACCATACAAAGTACGTTAAGATAGCAGAACAGCATGCAGAATAGGGGTTACAGCTGCAGAGAAGGTGCAGAGAGAGACAAATCAGAATTAACATTTGAGAAATGCATTGAAAAGTCTGATAACAGCAGGGAAGAAGCTGTTCTTGAATCTATTCGTATACGTATTCAAATTTTTATATCTTCTGCTCAACAGAAGAGGGTGGAAGAGCTTATAAACTGGGTGGGAGGGGTCTGTGATTATGTTGGTTGCTTTCCTGAGGCAGCGGGAAGTATAGACAGAGTCAATAGATGGACTGGGCTGTGTTCACCACTCTCTGTAGTTTCTTGTGGCTTTGGGAACAGCAGTTGCCATACCACACCGTGATGCATCCAGATAGGATGCTTTCTACGCTGCATCCATTAAAAATTGGTAAGAGTCCTTGTGGAAATGCTGAATTTCCTGAGCCTCCTGAGAAGGAGAGACATTGTGTCAACATGGATGGACCAGAACAGATTGTTGGTGATCATCACTCCCAGAAACTTGAAGCTCTTGATCATCTCTACCTCAGCACCCACTGATGCAGACAGGGGTGTGCCCTCCACTTTGCTTCCTAAGTCATTTTGCAGATGTTGATGGAGAGATTGTTGTCTTTACGCCATGCCGCTAAGCACCCAATCTCTACCCTGTATTCTGTTTGGTTTGAGATCCAACCCACTACGGTGGTGTCATCAGCAAACTTGTAAATGGAGTCAATGCAGAATTTGGCCACACAGCCATGTGTACAAGGAGAATAGCAGGGCACTGGGTGTTGAGGATTATGGTGGAGAGGGTGGCATCGCCTATTCTTACTGATTGCAGTCTGTTGGTCAGAAGTCGAGGATCCAGTTAGAGGGGGAAGTGGAGACCTGGGTCTTGGAGTTTAGAGATACGTTTGTTTGGAATTATGGTGTTGAAGGCAGAACTGCAGTCAATTAGCAGAAGCCTGGGAATTTTTTTGGCAAAATTTTATTTATATTACCTAACTTTAACAAAGTTGTCCAACAATTTCCATTCCGAGAAGGAGTCTGATTCTTTGCAAATAACAAAGGACAGGTTTATAAAACGACTATATATTGTACATGAACTGCAGCAGTTCAAGGTAGCAGCTCACCACCACCTCCTCAAGGGCAGCTAGGGACAGGCAATACATGCTGGCCTAGCCAGCAATGCCCACGTTGCACAGGTGAATAAAAAGAATGTACTAACAAAGAAAAAACTTCAATTACAGGCAATTTGAGTACTCATATCAAAATATAGGGTGACTAATTACTGCAACTTTGACTGCTCTTTTTGAAAGCTAACTGGGTCCAAACAGATTGGCAAGATTTGAAAAGCACAGACAATATCTATTCAGCAATTATTCAGAAAAGCTCTCTGAAATGATTTTTAGAGTTTGCATAGGTGATCATTTAGATAAAAATAACTTATTAATGAACAACCAACAGATTTAAGAAAAGAAAGTCATGTTAAAATAACTTGTTGGATGTATCTCAATGACATTATGGCCATAGTGGAAAGGAAACTGGAGCTGACATCTGGATTCTTAAGGTCTACTTTAGCAAATCATACCCAGAAGTCACAGAATAAGGGGTGAGGAGGTATTGCTCTCAGTAGAACATTTCTCTAAGTCAAGAAACTGAGGCCAGCAAAAAGTATCATTCTAGTCTGCAAAGAACGTCTGAGTGAGATATGCAGGATACCAACCTTGGAACCATAGCAATTTGTAATCTGTGCAGTTTGATAGCCTGCCAAGATTGAGGTAGATACTACGCAATGGGTCTTGTACCCAAGGGACTGAAAAATCAATTTGGCTGGACACATCATGTGAATTACTCTTGTCTACTTAAGAAAGACAACAAGTTGACCTGACTTTCAGTTTTCCAACCCTTTCTCAATTCCTGGTTCTCAACTATCTGAGCTACATATTTGGAACTTGCCACAAGTAACTAGTTTTTCTTTTAATATATCAACCAGCTTTGATGTGTTAGGCAGATACCCTTGGCCATAGCATCCTGTGGTGGGACTAAATCTGAACCTTCTGACTTAGAGGTAGTGGCACTACCACTGCACCATAAGATACACAATAGCCAGTTACAAATAAACAAACAACGCTGTATCAAGTAACCAATTACCAATTGTTTGTTTTAGTGGTTTGGTTAGAGCTTAGTGAGAAATATCACTAAGGCTGTAATGATATCAAGCTAAGAAGGACAAACAGGTACCATGCAACCAATTAAGAAGGATTAGATCTTTAGGTTAACTGGGCCAATACATAGCTATTTCAGTTCAATGGACAGAATTATAAAATAATCGAGTGAGTAAAAAGAGCTGGGTGCAAACTTGGATCATTAGTAAAAGGATAAAGCAACAGGCTTATGTTCAAGTCCTACAACTTTGTGAAAGGACCAACAAATATTTAGATTTTTGATTTAAAATGTTGGGCTTATTTTGGTAGCAAGTTGAAACTTCAAGTTAGTCTAATTGTAATTTTGAAGAAAGCTGCAAGAGAAAGCTGTTCAGAATATTGAAGGATTGAAATACCAGTGAAAAGGGAGCAGGGAGGGGGAATTCAGGAAGAGCCTCACAGCTAAAGAAGAGGAAGAGTTTTGAAATAATTTATGAAGAAGGATCATTGAAGCAGACATTAAAAATTGGGTGCACTCCTGAAGAAAGGAATGGAATAAGGGATACAGTTTGTGGAGCAGGATTTGGTTCATCCCCGAAAAAGAAAGGCAAAGCCTTGTTAGATAATGACCTTTGACTGTACCTAATGTACCTCACCAATCTATTTACTGATGAAGAACAACAACACCACTTTCAAAAGAAATGCATGCTTCTAGTGGGGTAAAGGTTCTATTGTAAAGTCTTTTTACACAACACCTATTCTCAATAATCTCCCTGGGACACAATGTCCTTGATCAAAATTCTTTAAAATTAAGCTGACCTAGACATGTTATTGATTCATTTGCTTTTCAAATAAGCCACTAAGTGCATCTTATTGATTTTGCAAGCGAAGTATGAAATGGGAGTGGGTAAGGCAGGGTTAAAGGTCAAAAGCATGCTTCAAATCCTCAAGCTGCTTTGAGATAACACTTATACTGCTTACTAATGATAATTGCTCAACCCAGGAATCTGAAGATCCACTCCCATAGCTGACTTCTGTTTTTATTCTTCGCAATCTACCAAATGTTATATAAATTGATCAGCAAACACAACCAAGAATCCTTTAATTTATCATCTGCAGCTGTTCTGCACACTGCTCTATGTGGGGCAATCTATCCATATTAGCAATGTGACTTTCAAGAAAAGCTTTTAAAAAAAATAAGTTGACTATCTGACCCTTCACTAACCAAATAGGCCCACAAATAAAATGGGACACAGACAAAAGAAATGCTCTGCTATTCAGCTTAAAATAACTGGTATCAGGCAGCTGGCTCCTCAAGCTGTTATTTTGAGCTGCTGTTTTCAATTCACTGCACCCAGTGATTCCCGTGCTTAGACATGGAGCAGTGACAGACACATGATTCCTTTCATATGAATGGACACACAGGCAGGCAGCAGACACGAGCAGGGAACACACAGGCAGGGACATGGTGGGGGGGGCGGTGGCGATGTACACAGACATGAGGTGTGGAGGGGAGACACACACACACACACACAGGGGAAGACAAACAGACATGGGGTGTGGGGGAAGAGACAAGTCAGAAAGGCGGTGTGGGCGGGGGGAGACAGACAGACAGACACTCGGGGGTAGGTGGGAATCAAAACTCAGTCAGGGGGCAGGGGGAACAGAGTGAGGGGGTGTTGGGCAGAGATGACACATTGCCAACATCTGCACTATTCTGCTTTTAGATTCGTGTCAATAATGCTGCTGGCTCTTCAATTAGGAGGGGAGCAACCAATAGGCACTGCTAAAATGATCAAACTGGTTTGTCTGGAGGGATGTTGGATGTTATTAAATAAAACTGAATTCGTTTTAAAAACAGGTTCCCAAAGTGTGTGTCACAAAACAGTTTTAAAAAAGCACTACCAGCCATAGGTGAATTCTTAGAATTCAAAGCTCCCAACTGTAAATTTAAATTGAGCACTAGCTATATGAGAAAAATCTTCCATTTAAATAGTGCCTTTCATTAATGCAAAACATCCCAGACTGCATGAGAGTGAATAAAGTATCCTTCTGAAGTCTATTTCCGGTTGCAAGTTAAGAAAATGTGCAGGCTATTTGTGAACAGCAAGGTCCCAAAAACATCAAGAAATGAAAAGACTTGGATAATTTGATTGTTAATGACTGTGGCTCAGCCCTTCCTTCAAAAGGACCATGGATTTTCATATCCATTCATGGGTTTTAAACACAACGATGGTGTTTAGAAGGCTCCCTAGTAGAGTTCCAATGTTTTGAGTCAGGTGTAGCGCCCCAGACTCCAGGTTTAAATCTGCTTCAGTACTTGTTGGCTTTGGAAGGAGCATTCATGATGCAGTTCAGAGATTGAATTTCAGCCTGCTAATGCTTCCAACACTTCACCACTACTCTCCCATGGGAAAAAAAATAACCCGAATGAATACAAAATACCAAATGGTTTCCAAATCTTTAGTTACTTATTTTCAACTGACCAACCAATCTCAAAGGGAAGAAATACTAATCAAACCAGTTCAGATGATCAACTTTAACAAAAATGGAGCAAAGGAGCTCCCCCAAAGCTTCACCCGCCTCACAAAGAGGCAGAAAGGCAAGAGATGGGAACTACACATATTGATGCAGAACAGTATAGACGGGAAAGGTGATCTAAATAAATTGTTAAGTAATTCTAAATGAGGAGATCAAAGATATGTTGCAAAATCAATAAACTAACATTATTGCTGAGGGAATGAAACCATTTGACATTGGGCATGAGAGATCGTAGGAACTGCAGATGCTGGAGAATCGGAGATAACAAGGTGTGAAGGGTCTAGGCCCGAAACGTCAGCCTTCCTGCTCCTCTGATGCTGCTTGGCCTGCTGTGTTCATCCAGCTCTACACCTTGTTATCTGACATTGGGCACATTCACTTGTGAAAATATAACCGAATATCTCATAGTCCAAGCAGTGGCCACAACACTCTGATGACCAGCAACCCTCTCCGAGGCAGGATTTGTTCGGAGTCCAGCTAATTATCACTCCACAGTTCATTAGATAGTTGCAGTGCTCTCATAGTTGGCAGAAATGCTTTCCCCACTGATTCTATTGATGCGAAAGCTGGAAACTCTGGCCCCATACCTCTCACATCCAGTAACCATTCCCAAGCCCCAAGACCGAGTCTCAACTAGGAACTGTAAACTGATTGTTTAATTCCATGTAAAGCCTTCAACAAAAAGCAAACAGAGGAAGAAAGATGAAATTGAGAGGATGGAAGAAGATAAAAAGAAAATTTTTTTTTTAAAAGAATTCAGACAATTATTTTAAAAGGAAGGAATGAGATTCAGCATTGCAAGAAGTTAGTTTTCAACGCCAAAGATTAAACATCACACCATTAAAGCTTTACTCACATTTGAATAGACAACGTTGAACTTTTTTTTAGCATGTTTAGTGAATAATCTATGGATAAATACTGCAAATTCAGACCCTTTATATGTTTTAATACCAAATCTCTTGACCAATGTAATAAAGCCTGTGAAGGAGAGATACAGCTTGGATAGCAACATCCTGAGTTCCGTCTTTAACAGCATTTGTGAAAATGCTAAAAGTTGCTGCCAGAATAACAGCAAGTGTCGACAATCTCATTTTCAGTTCTACCTCAGAATCTAAACTATTATATATGATTTTCTTGTTTGGAAGAGTACATTAGAGGCAATTTTGAATCTGAAATCAGAATTGTCAATAGTAGATTGTTGACATTATGACAATTGATTGGGAACGTATCACACATCTTAGTCAGAAACTGTTTTCAAACATTCTCAGCAACCAAATGTGTCACAAAGAATCTGAAGGTGAGAATGAATGAGATTTGGTTGGAATCATAACACTTAAGTTTTTTTTTAATTGTTTTACCTGTCAAGTGGTAATAACTAGTACCACATTGAGCACTCGAACTGTTAAGACTCATCCCCTATGCATCACAGTACATCTCAATCTCTATATCCTTTCAATACTAGAGCATCTGAGGTGCTTTTGTACATTATGACAGAGAAATGGACAGCTTCTCTCTCTCTCTCTCTCTCTCTCTCATGCTCGCAGGCAAATGCCACAACTCAAGATGTCAAGCTAATTACAGATGCCACGCATGTCAAGACTCAGTCTAGAGCTTAATGAATTGTTTCACAACACATTTTAATTGGTGTGAAAATACAATGCATTATAACCTTTTATTTAATGGTGACTGGACTTGTGTGCTGTGAAGGTGTTTTAACTAAAAAATCTGTTTTTGAATCAAACTAGAATTTAGATTTATTCCGAACTGCTAAAGAATGCATTTTATATCTTTGTTCAAAATTCATTGGTCACATTTCATAAATTCAATAACAGAAATTTATAGAATATTTAGAACTTTCCATTATCTCACTTAACACTGAATTGATATACTATGCGACAATAAAGGATAAAGAAAAATTGAAAGCACCTGCCCACGTTTGCAGCCTGTTGACTCAGGGAACTTTTCAAACAAGGCGCATGTTTTTGGGACTTGTTTACAGGATTTTTCAGCTCTGCGACCTAGGAGGAAAAAAGAAAAATATATACAAGGCAGCAGCTGCATTAGCATAATTTCAGATTGTCATAATTAAGGTTATTTCATTACCAGCCATTTGACAAAACTTACCTTGAATTCAACCACAATTGATGTATCTACACACATCTAATCAGAACTCTCATACAATTTCTCTCACAACAGCTTTTCCCTCATCGGAAGACAAAATATACAAACATACTAAGATTCCTTTAATTCTCAGAACTTTTCAGTTATTTCACCTAGATTTGAAAATATTTAAAGGGTGCGGTTAGAGGGAGTAAATTAATTTAGGATTAAGTCAGAAGTCACATGACACCAGGTTATTTCAGGATTAAACTGGATAAATTTGCACTAACACAATACCCAAAATAACAATCTGTCTGTCCACCATCCGTAACAACTACAAATGATTCCGAATTTGTATAGCACTTTTGTTCAGATGGATGCAGTCATGTATCCTGAACACACTAATCAATTAAGTATATTTAGCATGAGTTGGTGGATTTTCTAGTTTACAGTGTTTCTTTGCCAATTCCTTCTCCGTTTACAAAACTCCTACATCTAATTTATTTATCCAACCCACACCAAGTGGGGGGGAAAAGCTTTCTCCAAACATGCAATTTTACTTCAGTAATAATACAGGCTTTACAGTAGTGTATGTGTCACACGGTCAATGACAGCTCTCATCTTTCTGCATGTAGGAGTCCAATTCTATCCACTAAGGACTGTAATTGAGTGTTCAGTAACTGTGCATTCAAGTGCTCTGAAAGCTTTGATACACGTGTCCACTGGGAGTGACATCTGCCTTGACAGACTACATAAGGATCTGCTCCACTGTTTTGTATAAAACTGTTTTTTTCTGACCCTCTAATTCCATAAAATCTATAGTTAAAGAAATAAGGGTTTTAGAATTCACCAGGATAAATTTCAACTTCACATTTTATTTTAGCTATATCATTTTACCATTAACCCCTATTGGATTTTTGACACCTGTTGTATAGTGTACAGTAAGGAAACAAGGTATTAGTACAGAGCAGGGGTAAAATACACCTCAGCTCAATCATGTCTTAACCCAGATATCCAAAGAAGCACCCGGGATATGGAAATCAAAAGCAGGTCATCTCAGGTGAGCAAAACTAGTAAGAGCTTTCGAAGAATACGTTAATCATAATGGTGGCACCTGAGGGAAGTATACTCAAGGTGGAGGCTGTGGGATGATGGAATGTTTACAAATGCAATAAAAGCTTGGTATTAAAGATGATAAAAAGGATCTGCTGATTCAGAAAAAAACAATTTGTTGATTCAAAAATGTAAGGAAATGATTAAACATTTATGACAGAGTTAGAGTTAGCAACCAAATGCACAGTGACTGATGAAAGCAGGATGGAATAACGTTTGATATAACACAGAGTGGAGCTGGAGGAACACAGCAGGTCAGGCAGCATCAGAGGAGCGGGAAAGCTGATGTTTCGGGTTGGGACCCTTCTTCAGAAATTCCCGACCCAAAACGTCAGCTTTCCTGCTCCTCTGATGCTGCCTTACCTGCTGTGCTCCTCCAGCTCCACACTGTGTTATCTCTGACTCCAGCATCGGCAGTTCTTACTATCTCTGAGTGGAATAACATTTGGTTTGATTTATCGGAGATCAGAACACCAAGTTTGGTAGTTTTTGTTTTATGCCTGACAAGTAGTAATAATAACTGGATTACACTGAGCACTCTAACGGTTAGGCTCAACCTTAATGCATCACATTTCAATCTCTACACTCTTCCAACACTGGAGCGTCTGAAACACGTCTGCAGGTTGTACCAAACAAAAAACTGAATGGCTCAAAAACTTGGGCAAAAACACTGAAAGGCAGCCAGAAGTGGGATAATTGTTAAGGCAGTGTGGATAAACATGTATGTAAATCAGAGGTCTGTAAAATAGCTAGGCAAATATTAGTTCTAAAATCAAGTTTGTAAAGGTACAACTTGCAAATATAACCATCAAATGGAGACGATGACCAAGTGAAATCACTTCCCCCTGCTCAAACTCATCTCCCTTCTCCACACCCTAAAAGCTGCTGAAGGATCCACATAAAGAGCTATGCTGAACAATGAACAAGAGTAATGAGCAACAGTCTAATTATCATCTTGAATAATTCTCCTATTTGTTATTGCTATCTTTCTTTATTCCAAATCAGGGAGATTGTTTTAGATACAAATACCTCTTTACTGTCAAGGTACAATAAGAGGGTGGAGTCATACAGAATCATAACTAAATAACACACAAAATTTAATGTAAACCAGCATAAAATATCAACCATAGATAGATAGATCAATAGGTCGATCGATCACAGGGACTCCCCTCAAACTGCATTAAAATAGCCAGCAATGAAATTGAAGAAGGCCTACAAATCATTGCAGAGTGAACTGTCAACATGTCTAACTTTATGGGAGCAGTCAACAAAGCCAATAGAACATTGAGTTACATAGCCAGAACAATAGAATGGCGGGCAGAGGATATCATGCTTATGAGATAAGGATCCTTGGTCAGCTCAAAACGTTGAGTACTGTGACTGGGTTCTGGTCACTAAGACAGGAGAGGGGCAGCAAGTATTGGAGGCAGAGCAGTAGAACTATATACAAGTCCAGCTTCTAGTGTCTAAGCCAGCAGCACATGTCCAAAGAGTCATAGCGGATTTGAAATGTTAACTGCTTCTCTCTCTATACTTGCTGTTGAGTTTCTGTAGCATTGCCTGTTTTTATTTCTGATCTCTGGCATCCGAAGGATTTCGCTTTTATTTTTGTGTTAAAGTTTTGAATTATGAGTAAAGGTGGAGAAATGTAGTTATTTGACATGTCATTAACACATCAATAAATGCCAAAAACAACTGATAAATGGAGTTAGAATACAGGTGAACACGATGTGCATGGCAATTAGTTCAAGCTGTTTACATTCTGACTGGCAGTTTACAAGACCAGAAAGAAGCTACTTGCATGTTTAAATTGGCGACCATTTCACAGTGCGCCACAGGTCTACGGACAAGTTAACAGTAAATGTGGCTTCATTTAATAATGTATATTAGTTAGAATCACAAACGTGTTCATAATAAATGCTGAGTATCGCTAATTTAGGTTTATGTCTCAAATCAGTTTTGCTTTATTTGAAAAATTGTTTCTATCAATAACCATTGTTCCTTGCTGTTATGCAGAAGATTAAGACAATTCAGTTCTACTGAACTGTAATAATGTTTATAAAACCTGTAAAGCAGACCATCTACGTAGATAAAATCTCTTCCCCACTCTGACATGATATTATGTGATAGTCTCATGAACGAAGAATGCTTTCCAGCTTTCGTGTCGTCCTGGGCCTTCTTTGAGGTTTTTGAGAGGCAGTGGTCGCAACTCCAGCCCACCTCTGAAAATAACCGTTTGAAGAAGCTGGTTTTTAGGCGCCAGCAACATGATGTTGGAAAATGGCTTGACCCAGAATTCAGGACAAGAAGTGGAGAACCTAGCCCATTATTTCATTACCTCCTGCAGCTAATTTACTTTTGAGGCCTCAGCAAATCAGATTTTTCTGTTACAACAACTTGCAACAAAGTACAATTCCTTATCAGGAAATATGGTTACAGCTTATTGCAGTGCAATAAGCTGAACAGTCCCTGACAAAGCTCACAAACGAATGTAGTCAATGGCAATGGTAACAGTGGCCCCGGTTTCCAGAAACTGAACAGTATAGTGATAGATAAAGAAGAGGGGCTAAAAAGGCTGGCAGGGAGAGAAGTCGCCAGGCCTGGATGGGAAGCATCCTAGATTGCTGAGAGGGGAAGGGAGCAAATCTCCAAGCCATTGACAGAAATTTCCAGGCATAGGATTATCCCATCTGAACAAAGAATTAATCTGGATCGTCAGCAAGAGAGCTAGGAATGAGATGAGCAGAAACGTCTTTACTCGGAGAGCTGTTAGGATTTGGAATATGCTGCCTGGGAGAGTGGTGGAAGCGGATTCCACACGAGGTTTGAAAAGACAGCTGGATATATATTTGAAAGGGTTAAATTTACAGAGATAGGGTTGGAGAATGGGACTAGCTGGGTAGCTATTTTGAGAGCAGTACAGACACGACAGGTCAAATGGCCTCCTTCTGTGCTGTAAAATGCGACGATATTATGTATCAGATTGCATTAGCAGCCTGGAAATGTATCTCCAGCATGGGGTTAATGCTTCAAGGATGTGAAGAGAAAAAGCTATTGGATTAAACTGTAATGTTCATGAAAGTTTACCCAGATATTTACTTACACTGTACAGGAAAAAAAAACAAATTAATAACAGGAACTTAACATCAATGTGTGTCAAGGGATTAATACCATGAAATGCAAGTAGACTTAAAATTTAATTCATTCAAAACTGTGTGTGATTTAAGAAAGCAATAATTTATCATGTTTACTCTTATCACTGTGTTTACCTATTTGAAAAAATACGTTTCATTTTACATATTGCAACATATTGACTTGGATAAGAAGAACTGGGTGCATAACAGTAACGTCACCGGATTGATAATCTAGAGGCCAATGATGTCCGTATCCCATGAAAGAATAAAGAAACAAAACATTAATGTCGCACATCTCTAATAGTGATATCCTCATTATAAGATATTACCTTGCTGCCAAAGTGTAAACTGGCTCCAGTCACCTTTCTCCCTCAGGTTTTCATCTTCAGGCAAGAAAAAACCTCTTTCTTTATCCATAACAGCCAGACCCTCATCACGGATTAACTTCCAATTTCTTTCAAGAGCCTACAAGGAAAGAATAGCTTATCGAAATTTAGACATCAGATTTAGTAATCCTCAACAGAGCACCTAACCCTCAACAGCCAAGGTAAATATCAGAAATATTTCTTCCTCAACAGCAAAATTACGATCCAAGAAAACAGTCACTTAAGTCTGATCAATGTCTGAAAGATCTATTACGTGCAATGCACAACAACATGAGACTAATAAAATCACAGGGCACACTGGCAGTAATAAAAAAAGGACGAAACAAATTAACTGCGCAAATAAGTTAGTCAACAGACCAGCAATGGGGAATCTTGAAGCACGAGATGTAGTGAACATGAAATAAATATATTTCTAAAAGATGAAAAGTAGATACTTGGAACCACAAGAACCAGTGAATAAATAAGGCTAAAACTAAATGTAAACTTGGAGATAAGATATTTTAGAATAGGTGAGCTGTGAAAAGGTTCTGAGATAGCTGTGAGACGCGATCTCAGTTTGTAAGAGTAAGGGTAGAAACAGGAAACTAGGACAGGTCACTTGTGAGGGGAGTTTAAAGGCCACCCCACAATGGTTGCACTATAAAGCAGAATGCAATACAAGAATGGGGCATAAGAAAGGTAATCTACATGTAGCTCAGGTGAGTCAGATTGGCAAAGGGAGATTAAAAAAATAAGTTCAGAGTGTATCTGGGACAATTTCTTAAAGCAATATGTTCTAGATCCAATCAGAGAGCTGGGTACTAAAGTCTGGTTTAAATATTCCAGTTTTGTGAATATGTAGTGGTAATGCATTAGCTGTGACCTCAATCTGGAAGATGTGTTTCGGGTGATGGCTTGTGGTGTGTAGAAGGGTGCCAACTGTTTAAAAAAAAGTTGCTAACTTATGTCTGTGGTCTTGTGTCAATTTAAATAATGTAGTGTCCAGGAAATTGATGCTTTCCTTGTGTGATGTGGCTTTAAATTTAATATATAGTTGATAATTACTGAGGATATTCAAAAATTTTTCTAATTCTGCCTCTGTGAGAGTCAAAATTCCCCATTCATTAGCATCAACATCAATACAGAAGATAATGTTACTGGATGACTGCTTCATCCAATACAAGTTAGTGAGAATGAAGAAGTTGCCCTTAAAATCTGAATAGTCCCTAAAAATCAAAATCGGGAAAATATCAAGAGAATCCCTTGAAAGAGAAAAGAAATTGTATTGTAAATGGAATAACAATAAACAAGGTAAACAAACATACAGAACTAAACATTCAGATATATAACTTCCTCAAAGTGCGTAATGAACAGGGACACACTAATGAACAGTAAAGAGGCAGTAATAAATTTTCTAAGAAACTGAACACACCACAGTTACAGAAAGGTCTTTAAGGTTAAGTGTGACTGGAGACGCAAGGATTAGAATAAATAGACACTTGAACCAAATAAATATTTCTACTTGTCTCTTCTTTAAACTATCCTAAAACCTACATGTCAAGCCAAACTTACAGTCATCCTGTCTAATATCTTCCACTTTGGCTAGGCACAAATCTGTTTCATTATTCTTCCAGGCAACACCCTACAACATTTTCCTATTTCAAAGGCACTAAACAAACACAAGCTTTGTTTGTTGTTAGTGAGTGATTATTCTGAAAGCTCGGTTAAGAATCCACATACCTTCACCAGTTCAGTATACCCTGTTTCTTTCGTTGTCCACCAAGGTTGAGCCTTCAGTCCATTCACATTGTAGAGTGAACGCTGCCACACTGAAGCAAAATGACCCCTTTTATGTCCCAGCTCATACCAAGTGTATGCCTGGGGATCAAATAAACCAGTGAAACTATATCATTAATCAGAACCAGAGATTTTGTCAGCAGGTCTGATGTTCCCATGGACCACTAACCCCTTCACTGCTGACTGCACTGTTTGACAGTACTAAATATAATGCTACTGAAAAGTTTTAAATAGTCAAAATTACATTTTAAAATCCTTTTGTCTCACTGATTAGATTGGCTAATTTCTCTGGACACATAATCCATTCACAATTTAACCATAAGTTTGATCTGTCAACAGGAAAATGAATATCAGGTTTGTTTTGATGAACTAAACATGATTGAACCTAATCTCTCACCTGGAGCTCGCTTATTCACTGGTATTTGTAATATGATGTAAAAAAATACTGAAACTGGCTTGGGGAGACAATTTAGATCTTAACTGATTGAAAATCCTAAATATTACTTTGTAAAACTGTACTTTGTAGTATTTGAGGACAAACCATTATAGGTACGGGAGGGAGCGTGAGGGAGAGAGAGGGGCAAAATAGCACAGACAGTGAAAGAAATATGACAAAGCATTTCAAAAGTTGATACAGGAAAGTGGTAGCAAAACAAAATTCAATTTAGAATACTTAATCTAGCTTTAACATTAAATTAGAGAGCGTTAACCTTCCAGTTAGAGTTGGGCAGTTTTTACTAAAAGCCTCTTCAAAAGAATTTTAAAAGCCATTTTAAAAGAATTTTCAATCTTTCATTAAGTAGAATTTCCATGAACAGTTTGCTAATTATATCTGAGTGTACATGAACCAGCATTTTGGATGAAATACATCACTGAGATGCATCTATGATCTTAATCAAAGTTTTTCACGAATCTATTTGTATAAAGCAAGAATGTGCAGTTGTACTCACCTCTTTATTGCCCACTCTCTGCATTGCATCTCCTAAGTGGAAGTAAAAACGACCATCATCAGTCCCTGGTTCCCCGGATAATAAACCTTCCTGCAGAGATTGCACGTTTCAAAAATCCGTTTATGTCACAAAGCCAACACCCAAAAGGTACAGTCTTCATTGCTCACTAGTAGAGATACAATTGACTTTGCATCTATCTTATTATTTCTATTTCAGGAACCCTGTTTTCTGAATTAACCATTTTCAGTGCAATGAGAGCAAATAGCAATCTTTCAAAAACACACTTGTAGAACTTCATACTAAAACTACTGAGCAGCTTTTAAAATCAGCAAGGACATGGATTTTAAACCTGGCTCAATTTGAAAGGAAGCAGCACCACATGATGGAAGAATAGGTTTCCTGCATTTCTCTGGCCTTGTTCTGAAAGAACAGTCTTATCGTTCTGCCAATTAACTATAACATACATCATTTATTGTATCCTCTGATCCCCGATCTGAGAGATCAGCTTTACATTTCTATGGAGCGGTAATGAAAAGCCAGACTCCTTCAGACTTGAAAAGAGATTGACGATGGAATGTCTTTCCTTATCTCTTAGATCACACTTATGTAAGCAATGAACAACACAAAACAGATTTAAACAATCTGCAATATTCTGCTGATACATAACGTATCCCTGTGAAAAGGCCAATAGATCCTGTATGCTACAACAAATATTTATTATGAACACAGATGATAGCTGTAAGCCTTTGGGTTGTTACGAACATAGCATCACCTACATCAGCTATAAGCAGATCAAAAAATTGATGGAACCTGATATTCAACTGGTAAACGTAATGTAAATTTAGATTTGGCTTAATTTTTGAGTTAATGTTGCTTTCACCTTCAGAATGATCATAACCAGTTCACTTGGCATTATTGCTCATTCCAGGAATGTACCCTGCATTCCATTAACCTGTTTAGGTTCTGATGTTTAAACATGATGCAACAACCAACTCAGGATTAGTTAACCTAACTAGTGCAGCACTTACCTTTAGATATGGAATACTTTCAGCTATCTGATTTCTAGCTTTGAGGATGAATCCATAGTGAACTTTAGCAAATCCATCATTTGGAGCCAGGGCCAGAACCTGCAACAACACATCACCATTATCCCCAGTTTCTCTGTTCTCTGAAATCTTCCCAGGGCTTTTACTGAACTGTAAAATCAAACTAAATTAGCTTTCCAACAGAATGGTTTTTGATGATATTCTTTATAAATATAATTAATCTGTATCAAATGAACCTTTCTAAGGTAGGTCTGCTAACCTACCCTAGTGAAGAGCAGGGGCTGAGAGTCTCTGTAATGGAGAAATCATTGAAAAGAGAAGTCATTAGGGAAAATAACATGGGAGCACATTGTCACTCAAGCCTCTCTGTGTCACTATTATGGGGGTCCTCTTACTCCATGCTCATTATCATTGAAATTATTAAAGGACTTGTGGGGATCAAGGGAATAACTTCCTCCATGAAACCCAAACTTACTGAATTTTTTTGTGTTACATAGACAGATTTGTGAAAATACAAGCTGATTCGGTGACAATTGAGAAATAGTGACATCATCTTGCTATATTTGGAGATGTAAGTGGCTAAAGTGGAAGAAATAATTATTTGGTAAATTTAATTTTAATGGGACATGGAAAATTTACCTTTTTTCATGGAAATAGAATGCACTGCATGCAAATATGAAAATGACAAGGAGATGCAAGGTTAGTAAGGATGGAATATTGATAATAACCATTGCACTGCTAAATGTAGATGCTAAAACTAAGAAAAAAAACAAAGTTTCCACGAAAGTAGAAGCTAGGGATGCAGAATGCCATAGGTTAACTATAATTCTAGATTGACCTTTGTATTCAGGGACACCAGGCAATTATGTTCCTGACCTGTGAGAATATAGGGTCAATGAGAACAAAGAGGCAGCATGGTTGTGATCCCGATGAGAACCATGGCAATGGAACTTTTGATAACAAACAGCTGAAAATTTGTTGTTTATGAGACTGATTTGGCACTGTTTGATTGGCAGTCTAGACAGAGGCCACCTTTGTTTCTAAGCAACACTATCTGGAAGAATTTGAGAGAATGGAAAAGCACCCAATTTCTTTTCTCTCCAGAATCTGGTTTGCGCACTCACTCTTTTTGACTCCATTCATTCTCAATTTTCTGGCTTTGTGCCCAATACCAGGTTATTCCAGGGCATTATCTACTGAAGATATATCTGGGAAGGGGAGACAGCCAAACTTCTCCACAATCTTGTCAAATGCCCACAATGCAGGAATGCTTTCCAATACTATTTACATTATTTACTCATATAAAAACATATGAATACAATTTGCCAAATACTTCTGATGTATGCAATAGTCTTGAGCTACACATGTAATTTTAATTCAGTGTCTGTACCACATTTAATAACATGCACTTTCTCCAACAAAGCATAGACAAAGTGAATTCTGATTCAGCACAGCAGAGTGATTACATGCATCATTGAAAACGGTGCCTATGTTACTTGTTACATGTCATGGTCTGGTCTGATTTGATTTCTATAACCTGGATTTTTCATCCTGACATAGGGTCAAAGTGCACTGGGTGGGCATTAAAAATGGTGGTTGGGACAACGTACCTCATAACAGCTTACGTCATAAGGTAAGAGCCGGTAGTGTTGAAGGTAGTACACGGATAGAGAATTAGCTAACGAGTGAGTGGAGATAAAGTATTCTTTTTCAGGTTGGTAACCTGTAACCAATGGGGTTCCATCAGGATCCGTGCTGGAACTGCAACTGTTTACATTATAGATTAATGGATTAGACAAGGGAAGTTGAGGTACTGTAGCCAAATTTGCAGACAACACAAAAGTAGGTGGAAAGGCAGGTTGCGAAATGGATACAAACAATTTAAAGAGGGATATTGATTGGTTACGTAAGCGTGCACATGGAGTATACTGTGGGGAAAATGTGAAGTTGTTCACTTTGTAAGGGAGAACAAAAGAATGGAGTTTTATTTTAAAGAAGAAAAACTGCAGAAAGCTGCAACACAAAGGGACTTGGGGAAACTTGTACATGAAACATACAAAGCTAGCACACAGGGGCAGCAGGTAATCAGGAAGGCTAATGAATGTTGGCCCTTATTTCAAGGGGATTGCAATATGAGAGTAGTCTTACGGCAACTGTACAAGGTGCTGGTGAGACTATATCTGGAGTAATTTAAAGAATGATATTTCATTGGAGGCAGTTCAAAGAAGGTTCCCTGGGATGATTCTTGATATGAAGAGACTGTTGTATGAACCAAGGCTAAACAGGTTGGGATTCTACTCACTGGACTTTTGAAGAATGAGGTGATCTCATTGAAACATGTATGATACTTAAGGGGTTTGACAGGGTAAATGCTGAGAGGATGCTTCCCCTCATGAGAGAGTCTAGGACCAGAGGGTGTAGTCTCAGAATAAAGGGGCACTAATTTAAGACTGAAATGAGGAAACATTTCGTCGCTCTGTGCCCCAAGCTGCTCCAGGCTTCAGGCCCTAGGATTCTCTCAACTCGGGAGTTTTAGGCACTGGTCCCTGGGCACCTTATTGTCTCTCCAACCACAGACTAGTTATTTCTTGCATTTATTTCTGAATGGCTGACCAGAAGGCCTGTAGCAACACAGACTGGAGAAAGGGGCAGTGATTGGAGGCACAGCTCCTTGCAAAATCTCCCATTTATACTTAAGTGTATCGGAAACTCTGGCTTCAAATTAAACAAATCAAATGTACATTAAAATATCAGTTTAGGTCTTTTTTTTGTTCCTATCTATGACCCTTCTTGTTTAAGATATGTAATTATTCATCCTGGCAACCCTCTGAATGAGCTATAAATTCATCTGCAATGCAGACATCAGTCAGACTGTGTGAAATGTCCTGGTGAGCCATAGTTTGGGCAGCCCTATGTTAACAGTAATGTGAGCTTGTTTCTTTTTGATAGATTTGAGCTCTTAAGGGGAGAATGGTCTTTATGAGACTATTCAAGAAATGTTTGTTTAGATTATTAGATTTACAAGTTATTCCAAGACTGGCAAATGTTATTATAAAGCTTGGATATGGTTCAACGTGAATATTGGAGAGGTTTAAGGTGTTATGGAGGTAGGTGAAGCTGTATGGTTGTGTGAATGACATGTAGCCTGGGTATGGGGAGATACGTGTTGAGGGGGTTACAGAGCATGGAGGGGAATTGGAGTGGAAGACGAGTAGTTTTTGATTGTTGACGGGGCCTCATCTCCAGACCAAACCAATGTCTCAAATAATGGAGATTGGCTTTTTAACCTGGCAACCTTGCCACCAGTTCATCCAGCAGCAGACCCAACTTCTCTGGACAAACAGTGTTAATGAGCAGTGCTGTATAGGTGACATGAACACAACATCACAGCAATCTTGTGACTCAAAGATGAAACTCCAGTCCAATGAGCCTGAATAAAACTCTTATATCTATCAACACTAAATCCAATACTATAAATATGAATAAAGGAAATAAAAAACATTTGAATAACCTGAAAAACCATGATTCAATTGACACTGAACTGCTGTTTCAATATTTTTTAACCTTCATAAAACCTATCAACATTTCTTGTATCTACTCAGGGATGACGGGACTTTAGGAATTATGGTATTTGTATTGCTCACTGTTCTCTTCCTGAAGATGCTGATTCACGCTGGCACAGTTCCAGAGTACAATGAATTTTCTACTTTGTACCTAGGTACCTTGGTACCTAAGGTGGCACTGGGAATGGTGACATTGCACACTTTTCACTGTACTCTTGTGCTTGAGTACACGTGACAATAAAATCTAATTCTAGCCCTCTTGTATGTTGCCCAAACGATCACACGCCTTTATGCATGAACTATTCAATGAATTCCAGCAGAGAGATCATGTGCACAAACATACCAGAAGTGACTGGCAAACAATCCAGAGTAGGATACCAGACTAATTTGATCCTTTTTGAATTTATGGTTGCTGAGGTAGTGTTCATAGCAATAACCCAGAAACAAACTCATTTAGCACCGATTGAGAATGCATTATTCATAATCTATGCGATTCAGCTCCAAGATGGAAATTTCATATTCCAAATGAAGCAACAGGAAGTACATAGTCTTCAGAATATATTCTCTTTAAATGTGAAATTTGAGGATGTAGAACAAAATTCCATTCCATTTCTTTTACAACGTACCTCTTCATAGACATTCTTGGCATTATCATTATCTCCCAATAAGAGATAACTTACTCCAAGCTCGTTCTTAATCGAGACATCATCTGGGTAACGATCTGCTAACTTCTGTAAGGTCACCACAGAGCGTTTGATGTGGCCTGCATATACATACAGAAAATCAAATAGAAGTTGGTCGAAATGTCACAGCCTGCAGTATATGTTGCATAACAGACAGGAGGTGAAGAACTTCTGACCTGACTGTTCTAATAAACCACTGACCTTATTTCACTCAAGTCATGTGTAATTGTCATTTTCATATCTTTGGAATATTTGTCTTTACTTGTCCTTTTCACATTGTATTTAGTATTCTGCTCTGCCTAAGGCAGTAAAAGCAGCATTTAAAAGAAAATAAAAAGTTTGACCATCTGACTGCGATAAAATGGTTTTCACCGGTTCCTCAGTGATGGCAGCAATCCAACAGAATATAACCAATAGCAGAGATAGGACTGGTGCCTGGCTAGTGGTTGGTCCTTTGTTATAAACATCTCATGTAAATTTGCAAAGTAGCTTTGCCCGACAGCAATGTCTTCCATTAATCAGTCTTTAAATCCTTTCTTTTCTCAACATTGAAAACAGTAAATCCAAAAGACTTGGGGACCCCACAGATACAGATTATTAAAATGTCATGAATGGGTGCAGAAAACAGGCAAAAAGTCAAGTAGAATGTCACCATTTACATATGGAAGACTGGAATATAAGGTGTGGGGTGCAGTGTGAGGAGGAACACCTGAAATACTGTGCTCAGTACTGGGTGTCAAATCTTGGGAAGAACATATTGGCTAGAGTGCAGTGTAGAGGTACCAGAGTGAAAGCTAGACTAAGTGTTAATTTATAAAATCACATCACAAAAACTTGGTTTGTATTCCTGGAATTTAGAAGGTTAGCAGGTGACCTGGTCATCACTTCCAACATATTAATGTGAGAATATAGTTCTGCTGTTTGGGATGTCGAGGGGATCTGTATAAAAATTACAGCCAGACATTTCAGGAATGAAATTAGGGAAGGATGGTAGAATTAACAGAATAGTGGCCCTTATTTCAAGCAGGTTGGAGTATAAGAGTAGGGTAGTCCTATTGAAACTGGTGCTGGTGAAACCACATCTGGAGTACTGTGAACAGTTTTAGTTCCCTTTACTTGAGGAAAAATATGATTTCATTGGAGGCAGTTCAGAGAAGGTTCATCAGCATGATTCCTGGTATGGAGGGCTTGTCTAATGAGCAAAGGCTAAACAGGTTGGGGCTTTACTATTAGAGTTTAGAAGAATGAGAGGTGATCTCATTAAAACATATAGGATTCTTCAGCTTGACAGGGTCAATGCTGAAATGATGTTTCCCCTCATGGAATAGTCCAGGACCAGAGGGCATAAGGGTCTTGAGCAGATCTGTAGCTCGGGTTGTAGATGCTGTGGTTGGTTGGTTCGCCGAGCTGGTTCGTTAGTTCGCAGACATTTCATTACCCTGCTGGGTAACATCATCAGTGCAGCCTCCGATGAAGCGCTGTTGTGCTTTCCTGCCTGGTATTTAAACTCTGGGGTCCAATGGATTTGATTACCTCATTTCTGGTTTTCCTTCACAGTGGAGTATATATAGGGTCTAGTTCTATGTGTTTGTTGATGGCTTTCTTGGTGGAGAACCAGGCCTCTGGTGTACACAGAAAAGCCACACAAACTGACCAAGTACAGAATTTCAACAGTAACCATCCCAACAGCCACAAACGAACTTGGGTGAAAACACTATTTAAAACGAACTACAACATACTATAGCAACCCAGAACTATGCCAAAAAGAGGAATACCTCCACCAAGTATTTAAGGTCAACGGATACCCAAACAACTGGATCCGACGATGCCTATCACATGAACAACAACAGGAAGATACTGCACGCCCTAACATACTCATCATGCTACCATACATCAAGAACATATCCGAACTGACCACAAGACTCTTACGACCATTGGGCATCACAGTAGCACACAAATCCACGTCAACCTTCTGCCAACTGCTAACTCGAACCAAAGGCCACTTACCCACAATGGACAAAACCAATGTAATATACAAAATCCCATGCAAGGACTGTGACAAACATTACATTAGATAGGCAGGAAGAAAATTGGCCACATGGGTACATGAACACCAACTAGCAACAAAAAAACACGACCAATACACACTCATCTCCATTCACACAGATAAGGAGAACCACTAGTTCGATTGGGACAACACCAGGATCCTAAGACAAGCACGAGAATTCCTAGAGACCTGGTTCTCCATCAAGAAGGCCATCAACAAACTAGACACTATACATACACCACTGCAAAGGAAAACCGAAATGAGGTAATCCAATCCAATGGACCCCAGAGTTTAAATACCAGGCAGGAAAACACAACAGCACTTCATCGGAGGCTGCACTGATAATGTTACCCAGTAGGGTAATGAAACATCTGCAAACTAATGAACCAGCTCGGCGAGTGAACAATCCACAGCACCAGACGGCATAGTCCCAGAATAAAAGGGCACCAATTTAAGACTGAGATAAGGAGGATTATTTTTCCTCTTAGAGTCATAGAGATATACAGCAGTGAAACAGACCATTTGGTCCAACTCGCCCATGCTGACCAGATATCCTAAATAAATCTGGTCCCATTTGCCAGCATTTGGTCGATATCCCTCAAGGGGATTGACAGTCTCTGAAAATTCTTGCCACAGAGCTGAGGGGGCAGAGTCCTTGTGTACATTTAAGGCTAGATGGATAGACTTGTGATCAGTCGGGGAATCAAGGGGTATGGGAAAACGGCAGGAAAGTGGACAAGAAGAACATCAGGTCAGCCATGAACCCTCTAAATGGCAGAGCAGGTTCAAGGGGCTGAACGGCCTACTCCTGCTCATGTCTCTTATGATCTAACTTTGGAAATAGTTTCTGAAAATTGCAATTGATGTTACACCAATTGTTAATTTAAACCAGAGACTGATATGATAAACAGCTGTGAAGCAACATAGAGCCAAAGCAGGTCAATGGAGTTAGGGCTTAGACCAGTCATTGTTTCACTGCAGAGTAGAACAGGGGCTTCGTTCATTTTAGGAGCTCCTGACCATGATTTGATATTAATTTCCTTAGGATGTGTAAGGATGGTGTCTTCTTTGTAAATGCTAACACACTTTAATAACTCAGCAAGCTCACCTCAATTTCATTGACAAAATCACCATTAACAGTTTGAGGAGTTCTCATCAATTCTGATATGGCTCTATTCCTAACACTGTTGTAAAAACTCAAAGTGTTGTTATTAAAATCTTTTGTAATTTATTAATAAGTATTTCCTATTTGTAGCCCCTACTATCTGATTTTTCACCGTTTGCTGTTCTTTATAACATCCTCATTCAACAGTATTACTCCATATTTCTGTATGTATTTATCTTTGAGTTTAGTGTTGTCCCCTGTCTCTTCACTTAGCCAAGGTTTATTCTGAGAGAATTGGACCGCTTCCCCTTTTGGGGTGGAAGCTGGTTTTATATCTTGTCAATTACTTATTTGAACACCTCCTACTGATCATTGGTCATTTTACCTATTAACAATTCTGCCCTCTTTACAACAGTTAATCCCTTCTTCATCCCAGGGAAGTCAGTCATACCCAAATTGAGAATCGTAATGTTGTTTTGCATTTCAAACACTAAGTTCAACTCAGTACAAGGGTAAGCTAGTTGAGGGAAGGACATAGCCTGCATTGATATGGGTCTGTGTAGATGGCAAGTGGGCAAAAACATGACAGATGCAGCATAATTTTAAAGTTGTCTACTTCTGTGGGAAGATTAGGGAAAAAAAACTACAAAATGCAGTTGTATGGAGGGATCTGGATGTTTGCCTGTTTTTCCACATTAATCACAACAAGTTAGCATGCAGGTGCAGCAGGTAATTAAGTCAACAAATGGAGTGCTGGTCTTTATTTGCCAAGGGGATTACTCTAGACATTTTACTGGTTATTCCAGATGTTAATTCCAGTTAGAATTTATTTATTCTTTTGTCACCTTGCTGGACCTCCTAATCTCCTTTCTAGTTTGGCCCATTGTTTTTCTTTAATCTACTGCACTGCTAGAGGGATGATGCATGTCAAGTCTGCAATTAGACATGTTTTGAAATTGGAAAGTCAAAAACTTAAACTTCATAATCTGAGGTTTGACAAAAAATAGTTATAACTTTCAATATGCTATGCAAGGTTTATAATTACATTTCTTACCTAGAAACTGCTGTCTGTTTGCTTGTCGTTTTATTGCTAGCTTCACCAGGTCTGCAGGTGGATTTGGCATGTCAGCCACTTCTCCATAGGTATTTATGGCTCTCTGAAGTATCTCATTACTTCGCATTTTCTCTGCCAAATCATCTTCAGACTGAAAGAAATCACAAAGTATTAAAACTTACCCAACACAGTTCTTAGTTCATTGCAAATTCCATCAATAAAAGCAACTGTTCAGAATGCTTTCCTGCTGTCAATTCTCTGCAGTCGGATAGCAGTCCACAATGAGATAAAATAGTTTATGAGTAAAATCTTTGTTGAAAATACTTCGACAGATTGTGACTTTCATTTCCCATTGAAAGAGTTAATGGTCAAGCGACTAGGTAAGGTGAAAACAATATGTCAGTATAGTCCCAGAGGACTGGCGCTGGTTTAACCTGAGCGTTGCCACGCCTCAGGTGAGAGAGTTGAGAAGTGGAGTCCTTCATGGTAACCTCAGCCAGCTTGGGAAATGAACCCACACCATTAGCATCACTCTGCATCACAAAACATCGGTCTAGCCAACCCACAAAAAAAAAGCTAAAGGCACCACAGTCCTACTGGACCATGGGGCTGCTCTCTCATAGGAGAGATGACCAGTGGTGGTCTAACCTGAGGATCACCACGACTCAGGCAAAGGGAGAGGTTGAGAAGGAAAGTCCTTCATAGTAACCTCAGCTGGTGTGGGGATTGAACCCATGCTGTTGGAGTCACTCTCGCCAATCTTTATCAATTTGTTTTTGTATCGAGAGTGATTAGTCTGAACATTACATTGGCTGAGAAATGACTGGCACAGAGGCGGTTGGGCTTGTCCCTGGCTGCGATGAGCTGCAGGATTTGGCTGTGGAACTGTTCCTGATGTCACCACATTCCATATGCAATGATGTCAGCGACACATACACTTGTCCTGTCCTACTTTCATTTCATGGTAATTAGTTCTTAAAAGCTAAGTCAGTAAATGACAGAATCATTGCTGATTTCTGATCCACGTTTTTGTCATGGGAGGTGGCACCATATTACCGGGGGAAAACAAAATACATACAAGGTTGCAGCATCGTCACACACTGACGCTCAACAGACAATTGCAAAATATACTGGCAGTGTGTCATTCCATCATTGGCCAGTGTTATGTCACTGCAGCACAGAGTGTGAACTCGCTGCCCTATCCTATGGTACCAGTGTCCATAAACACAGCTGTTCTTAGAGTTTTCTTTTTAAAAAAAGTCCTCTCTGTCCATTCATTGCTCCAAAACAGGCAAATCAGCCCCATACAGTTTGTGTGCCGTGCCCACCTCCTCCACCACCACCATGCCTCGCCAACCACCCCCCCACCCCAAACAATGGCAGGGCTTCAGATAATTGGCAAAATGTCACAGTAACTCAGACATAAACACAGTTCTTTGTACCTGTAGTGAAAGTGAGGTTCCTCCTAAAAATATTTTTCACCAATTACTACATTCAATTAACTTACACACAGTTACGAAAAGGAACACGACTTGTCTGGATTACCATGCTGGAACTATACATGTGGGGAGTCAGTTCAAGACAGGTTAGGGAGGATGCACACCCACCAATCTACTTGCCTGCCAGCACCATCTTCTAGGCTTGAATAAGGAATAAACTACTTGGGAGAGGTATCACAGAAAGGCATGCTCGTGGAATCATACTCCACAGTCAGCTACAGAAGGAGGGAAAAGAAAACTGGAAAAACATCTATTCTATGGTAATGGAGAGAAACTAAAACATAACACACTCCCTTGGCCATTTTTCAACATTAAAATAAAAACAAAACAAAAGTGCCATTGAATGTCTATACTTGTAACAGAAATTGTACTTGCCTGGGCTTTTCCATATTTAGCTCGAGGACTGTGAGGATAGCTCTTCAGAATTTCATTAAATGCCTGGAGTGCTGCTTCAGATTTACCCTAAGTGGGAAGGGAGAATACGTCTAATATTAGTGGAAAGAAAATATTTATGAATTCCACAACAATACATACAGGTTATTCCAAAACAAAGTTAAATAAAGTCATGGTACTCAAACTTGCTAAACCTTGCTATTTGTAGTCATAGAGTCATGCAGCATGGAAACAGAGCCTTCAGTCCAACTCATCCACACCGGCCATGTTCCAAAACTAAACTAGTCCCATTTGCCTGCATTTGGCCCATAACCCTCTAAACCTCTCCTATTCATGCACCTATACAAATGTCTTTACATGTTGAAACTGTACTTTCAGGCACCACTTCCTCTGGCAGTTCATTCCACGCATGGACCACCCTCAGTGTCCATATTCATGATCTTGGTATATTTGGATTTTGAAAAGCTAATATGCCACTAAAAGGATTGCCAAAATTACGGCTCATGGGAATTAGAGTAATGTAGTAGCCTAGACAGAGGATAAAGGTCATTCCAAGCATATTCATTCATTTAACTGGAATCACCTTACAGCTCTCATTGCACCATCTAATTAGTTCATAAATGATTGTGAATCTCGAACATACATTGATAAAAGAATAATTTTCTGAGATCAGGCCTAACTTGACTTTATGCTGATTTTAACCTGTCTCTTTCTTTGTCTTGTGCTCACAATATACTAAAAAGTAATATGCTGAATTTACCTTTTCCATATTACGGACTATGAACCTCTACAAGATAACTTCTCTCACCTCTCCTGATTGAATGGCATTAATTTATCAGACACTCCTAACACAGACATCTATAGCAGAGAAAAAGGCCCTTTGGCCTGTTGGGTCTGTACCAGTCAAAAACAACCACCTAACTAATCCAATCTCACTTTCCAGCACTTGGTCCATAGTCTTGCATGCCTTGGTATACAGGTTATAAGAGTTTCTTCCTCAACCACTTCTACAGGTAGGGAGTTCCAGATTCCCACCACTCTCAGGGTGAAAACATTTTTCCTCAAATCTCCTCCAAATCTTCTGCCCGTGACTTTAAATCTATGCCCCCGGTCATTGATTCCTCCATCAAGGGGAGAAGTTTCTGTGTATGCCATTCATAATTTTATACATCTCAATCACATCCCCTCTCAATTTCTTCTGCTCTAGGGAAAACAACCTCAGACTGCCCAATCTCTCTCCACAACTTAAACACTCCCAGTGCAGGCAACATGTTTCTCAAATTGCATACAAATCCATCACGTGACCTGGTGAACTTTGTTAAGGGTTCTGAAATTGATCCAGAATGTGGTCAATCCCATTGGATAACTACATTTCAGTACCATTTGAGTTAGGTGACAATGGCCAAAACTGCACTCTACACCATTCATTGACATTTTTGAAAACAATCTGTCGATGAATTGGGAAAGCCATTTTATTGATGAATGAAAGAATGCTCTCTGGCATACCAAAAGTTGGTTAGGATGTGCTGGACAATTGATCTTCAAAATTATACTCGAGTGCAAACGGCATGAGCAAAAGATGCTCCTCCATATTTGGATTGGGACGCAGACAGTCTAGGGGTGACAAACTTTGTTTCATGATAGGAAACTCAAGATGGCTTTGATTGGGTGTAGGACATTTTAACTTATGAAACTGAAAGGTTGTGATTCATTTTTATGGCCAATTCTAGGCCATAAGATATGGACAAGTGATAGTTAGCACTGTAGAATTAGTATTGTCAGATATATCCCAAACGGTGTCATTGATTTATAGTTTACAGCAAACGTGATAACTTACAAAAAGACTACTTTGACAGCCGTTAAAGCAGCAAAAAAATTGTTCTGTCCTATTTTAAGGTGCAATTGCTGCAATTAACAGAATCACCAAGAGACAGAAAATTTCACAGGATCTTTGGTGCTACAGTGCTAACTATCACTTGTCCATATCTTATGGCCGAGTTTAGGCATTGAGTTAGACGATCAGCCATGATCGTGAGGAATGACATAGCAGGCTCAAAGGGCAGAATGGCCTCCTCCTGCTCCTATGTTTCTATGAAAGGGGAGGTGCAAGGCGAGACCTGGGCGTCCTCAGTTGCTGAAAGTAAGCAAGCAGGTGCAGCAGTCAGTCAGAAGGCACATATGATATGTTAGCCTTCGTCATGAGAGGGTTTGAGTACAGGAGCAGGGATGTCTTGCAGCAATTGTACAGGGTCTTGGTGAGACCACATCTAGAGTAGTGGAGATTTTTTTAATCCTAATCCATGGAAGGACGTGCTGGGTGTGGAGTGAGTGCAACAAACATTTACAAGACTGATCAAAAACTGAAAGAAGTGCAGATGCTGCAGATCAGAGACAAAAATAGAAATTTGCTGGAAAAACTCAGCAGGTCTGGCTGCATCTGTGGAGAGAAATCAGAGTTAACATTTTGGGTTGAATGACCCTTCTTCAGAGCACAGCAGGCTCAAAAGGGCCGAATAGCCTGTTCCTATTTTCTACGTTTCTGTACAACAACTGGTGTTAAAATATCTTATATACCAGTCCAGTTACAGTCTCAGTAACTTGGTCATTTGGAGATAAAGTAGAAACTTTACAGCTCACCTTTTTGCGCAGCTTTTCAGCAGCATCCAGTTCTGCCTTAATCGTCTTATCAAACTTGTTCAGGAGCTTTGGTTTCTTTTTTTTAGCTGGACCTAATTTAAAAAGAATTAGCAAAGTTTGTATAATGCACAAGTTCCAAAGGTTAAAAAATTGTCATGTCTCTCATATGTAATTATATTTTCTTTTATAAAAATAGGGCTCCCAACCTGCTTGGACAATTTCATGTGTTCCAGTCAAAACTTTTTCAGGACATTGATAGAACTCCCACAGGTATATTATCAATGGAATGCAGCATTTTCAGGTATATCAGCTCAGACTATCTGCTAATAAATGACCTTCTGGATTGTGGACTGCACTTAAGCTTTTCATAAGATCTTCCTAATAAAGTAAAGATTTTAGAAGACACCAGAAGCCAGAAATGTTCAGAAAGCAAGAGAAAATAAATGAAAAATCTGCCAAAATAATTCATAGAGCAAATATAGGAGTAACGAGCTACACAGAACATTAAGTCTAACACAACTGCCATTTACTTAGGATATTTCTGGGTTAACAGTGCTAAGACCAGAAGAAATAGGAACAAGAATTCATGGCTGATCCAATATTTCTCACAGCCCCGTGCTTTCCTTGTAACCCTTAATTTCCTGACTGATCAAGAATCTATCTATCTCAGCCTTAAATATACATACGGTCTCTTCCCCCACAGCTCTCTGTGGCAAGGAGTTCCAAAGACTCTCAACCCGGAGAGAAGAACTTCCTCCTCATAGAATCAAGAATTGTACAGAAAGCATTCAGCCCAGCATGTCTGTGCCAGCTCCCGATAGAGTTAGACAGCTAGACCCCATTCTCCAGCCCCATTTCCGTAGTCTTCTAAACACATCCCTTTCAAATATATATCCAGCTCTCTTAAAACCTTATATGGAATCCATCTCCACCACTCTCCCAAGCAGTGTTGCAAATCCTAACAACTCTGAGTAAAAAAGTTTCTCTTCATTTCACTCAAAGCTCTCTTGCTGATAATCTCGTAATTGTGACGCCCTAGTTAGAATAGCAAAGAAATTTATTGTCACATGTACATTCACACGAAAAATACAGCAACAGGTTTTATAAGTTGCCCCAGCACGGTGTCTACATCAATGACAGAAGTCGTACATAATAATAACATAAAAAAAGTAAAATTAAGGCAAAGTCACTTAACAGTTTCCAGGCTTGGGGAAAATTAATTAAGGAATGATGGAATACCTTGAAGATGCAGCTGGGTGAGACCGCGACACCGGTCTGCTGGATACTAGGCCGGAAATCTCCGGTGAAGATAACAACTGTGGCAGGCTGAGACCACCTGTCAGGCCATTGGAATACCTGGATGCTGAAGATAAGACTGCCACGCTGGGAGACCAGCAGGCTAGGCCTAGGCCGTCTTTCTCCTCCTTCACGTGCCCGGGCCTAGCTACGGACCTGGAGCTTCTGCCTAGCCCGAGAGTCCGGGCTGGGGGAGTCAGCCCAAGACCTGTGCCTCGCTTGCAAAGAGGCTTAAAAGAAAAGAAAACAAAGAGGAGGAAAACAGCAAAAGTAAAAGGAAAAAAATTAAGAGAAAGAAAGCCGACAGGAGTGAATGAGCCCTGGGCTCAGCTCCCCTACTCTGCCACGTACAAAAGAGAGTTACTGGCACATCAATTAGTGGAAACAGAATATCCTTCTTTACCCTGTCAAAATTGTTCATAATTTTGGACTCCTCAATAAAGTCATCACTTAATTTTCTCTCCGCCAAGGTGAATACATCAAATTTCTCTAATTTTCCCTTGCATCTAAAATCCTTCATTCCTGGTATCATTCTAGCAAATCTCCTTCGCACTTTCTCTAAGGCTTTAACATCCTTCCGTTAATAAAGGTGCTCAGAACTGAACACAATACTCCAATGTGGTCAGTCAATGATTTGTAGAAGTGTAGCATCATTTCCTTGCTTTTATACACTGTGCCTCTATTTATAAACCCAAGCCTTAACAACGGTTCCAACTTGCCTGGCCACCTTCAGAGAATAATGCACTTGAACTCCGAGTTCTCTCTGCTCCTGTACTCTCCTCAAAGTTGTACCATTGAGCCTAAATTGTCTCTGCATGTTCCTTCTCCCAAATTGCATTACCTCACATTTCCCTGTATTGAATTTCATCTGCTAGGAGTCTGCCCATTTAGCCAACTTGTCAATGTCCTTCTGAAGTCACTAAGCATTATCCTCACATTTCACTATTCTCCCTAGCTTAGTATCATGTGTAAATTTAGATTTAGATCTGTAAATCCAAGTCATTTGTATAAAATCACAAAAATGCAAGGGTCCCAACACCGATCACTGAGGGGCACCACTTTCAACTCGTCTTCAATCCGAGAAATACCCATCTATACCTACCCTCTGTTTCCTATCTCTTAGCCAACTTCTAAACCATTCTGTCAAGGACTCAATCCCAAACATTACTAATTTACTAACCAACCTGCCATGTGGCACTGTATCAAATGCTTTCTGAAAGTCTAAATATACAACATCCACAGCACAACCCTCATTCACTGCCTGTATCATCTCGTCAAAGAACTCAATTAAATTGGTCAGACATGACCTGCCCTTCTCAAAGCCTTGTTGACTGTCTAATATTAACTTATTTTTCTCCAAGTGTATATTTACCTTATTCTGTATTATGGCCTCCATCAGTTTTCCCAGTATTGATGTCAAGCTGACAGCTCTGTTAGTTCCTGGGTTATCCTTTACTGCTTTCTTACACAACAGTGTCACATTTGCAATCCTCCAGTTTCTCTGGGACAAATTCTGTGTTCAGAGGGCCCTGGAAAATTTCTGTCAATGGCTCTGTAACTTGCTCCCTTACATCTCTCAGTAATCTAGGATGCATCCCATCTGGGCCTGGCAACTTCTCTATGTGGAGCCTTTTTAGTCTCTTCTACACTGCTCAGTTGCTCAAGACTCACATTTTAAGCCACTGTCAGGTCAGTCTTAAACTAACATCCCTTTACTCTAAGGCTATTCCCTTTCCCAGGAGGGAAATATCCTCTCAGTATTTACCCGGTCAAGCCCCTTAAGAATCTGATATGTTTCAATGCGATCACTTCTCATTCTTCTAAACTCTAATAAGTAGGAGTCTGAATCTGTTTAGCCTTTCTCATAAGGCAATTCCTCTATCATCCTAGTGCAACTAGGGTACTTTACGTTGGCAAAATGAAGGAAAAAAAAAACTAAGAGATCAAAGAAGTGGGTTTTACAGGGTTATAGAGTACATGGGGTGTAAGGGAGAAACTCTAGACAATAGGATCTAAGCAGCTGAAGGAATGGCCTCTCATGGCGATTTAAAGCAAAGGGATACAAAAGAGGTGAGGGTCAGAGGAAGATGGCAGCAGTGGAAAAGACATCCAGGATGAATCCTGGTTCCCGTACTCGAATCCTCTCACTATACAGTTTACCTTCTGCACGTATACTTTCAGCGACTTGCGTACAGTTTGTTGAACATGCCCATCTCTCAACTTACAGCAATTCAAATAGCAATCTGCCTTCCTGTTTTTACCTCTGAAGTGGATAACCTAACATTTATACCTAAGATTTTGTACGTACGTACCTTTGTAACTATGATGGCAACAGTGCACACTTTTTGCTGTACTCCTGTATCCCTGTACGTGAGTACGTGACCACAAAATCTAATTCTAATTTAATTACATTATACTGCATCTGCCATGCATTTGTCCACTCACTCACCCTGTCTAAACCACACAGCAATATCATCTCGGCATCCTCCATACAGCTCACTCTGCCACCCAGCTTTCCTTAGTTACACGCTAACTCTGTACATTGTAAAACATCCTTGGATTTTTGTTGCCAGCATTTTTACATGCCCTTTGTTGGACATGTTAACTTCCTTTGTAATTTAAGCCCTGCAGCTTCTATACACAGAGAGAATGTGAGGAAATGGCACTTTGTTTTTTTCATTACATCTGACATGATATCCTCTTTGACCTCGGGGTGGGGGGGGAGGCGAGCAAGGCAGAGCGCATGGCGCGGGCGGGGCGAGCAAGGCAGAGTGCGTGGCACGGGGGGGCGAGCAAGGCAGAGCGCACACGCGGGGGGACAGACTGCACGGGTGGGGGAGAGGAGGGAGCGGAAGCGAGAGAGTGTAAGGTAGGGAAGCAAAGAAATCTCGATTTGGAAGTCTCACCCTTGCTCATTATGGCAACTTCTGCACTGAAATCTTTTTTCCCCTCTCCTTTGATGCCTCCCACTGCACCCATTCCAATTTAACCTCCAGTTGTTGTTTCAAGTCCACATTTGATATTTTCCATCTCATTGTACCAGCAAACTCTGTGCTGATACTGCCCTCTTAAGGTGCAACTCGTCCTTATGCCCTCTAAACCTAGTCCCAATAAACATACTGCAGGGAGGTTATATGTTCCCAGTCATACATCCAATTCATTTTGAACTCCCTTGCGTGAGACACCAGCAATCCTGAGATCAATCTTTAATAACTTTAATAGAGGAGGTGATAGCCTAGTAGTATTATCACTAGGCTGTTATTCTCGAGACCCAGGTAATGTTCTGGGGACCCAGGTTCAAATCCCATCACAGCAGATAGTTTAATTTGAATTCAGTAAAAATCTACAATTGAGAGTGTAACAATGACCATTAAACCATTGTCGATTGTCGGAAAAACCCATCTGGTTCACTAATGTCCTTTAGGGAAGGAAGCTGCCTCCCTACCTGGTCTGGCCTACGTGTAGCTCCAGACCCCAGAAATGTGGTTGACTCTTAACAATTAGGCAGGGACAATAAATGCTGGCCTATCCAGTGACACTCTATTCCCATGAATGAATAAAACGGTTATTTTAACCTGAAACATCATCTTTCTCCGGATGTCATTGGTACCAGTCAGTGCCATGATCTTTGGCCATCACCACCAGAAGGTTTTACAGCTTGGCAGGTCACACCATCCTGTTTGAACAGAAACACTTTGCTGCTTTCCTCACAACTGGATGTCCTTTCACTATCACTGTCACTTCCAGACCTTTTCCTGTCTCCCCACCTTGGCTTTGGCTCAGGTTGTAAAACCCT